TCTTCACAGTTTCACCTACCCCACACAACAAACTGAGTTTGTGGCATTATACCTGCCTTCTCTAAGGCTACTGATAATGTTCCTGAGCATGACTCTGTGCACAGGGATCTTTGTTTTTTTGTTAAAATTATATCTCTAAGATCTATACTGTAGCTCTTCTTTGAGAAGTACTTCATAAACTGAAGAATGTGTGAATTATTCTGACAGCAGTTTGGAGGACACAGTAAAGAGAGGATAACAGCAAGACAAGAAAGAGTCAAAACACAGTCGACCTTCAGGGTTTGTATAAAACATATCCGACAAAACATTTCAAAGACAGGATGAAACAGCAGAGAGGTGAGAGGTGGCAACTCAGACACAACAAAGAACATAATACAGCTGGTGACTTTAAAGAGTTTGTTTTACCGATTCTTAAAAAAAACAAAACAAATCAGTCATAGACTGCAGGATAAATGTTTGTGTGGATCTTCTTAACGATGATCCAGCACTGTGTTTACACTGAGGACATGGCCCTGCTCCATATGTCTCTGTCAGGTCGTTCTGCCATTGCGGCTCTTTTCAGTCCTCGGCAGCTGAATCAGCTTCATGTTAAAACACAGGAAACACACACAAGCCTCAACTGCAGTACCTACAAGGGACCTCTGATTGCCCTTCAACAAACAACAGCTGAAATACATCAATCTGAGATCTGGTTCCATCATCACCATCTGTGATGTTTGATGGACTAATAAAATAACTCTGGGGACATACTGTATCTGCAGGATGAAATCTGTTGTACATATTCATGGTCCTCAAAGGATAATCCTCAGCTATTGTGGTGACTCACTGGCCTCCCCCTACAGGACAACATGTCATACAGAAGAGGTACCAAACTGTAACATTAAGATTGATATAAAATTTTCCAAGCTGACAGTGGGCGAGAGGTAAGGTACACCCTGGACAGGTCGCCAGACTATAACAGGGCTGACACATGAAGACAGACAACCATTCACTTTCACGTTCACCAATTTAGAGCCACCAACTAACCTAACCTGCATGTCTCTGGATTGTGGGAGGAAGCCAGAGAACCCAGAGAAAGCCCACACTGCCACGTGAGAAAATGCATACTCTGCACAGAAGGGCTCCCCACCCCACTTTCAAACCACTCATCCTCTGGCTATAAAGTAACAGTGCTAACCACTTCACCACCATGCTGCCCTAAGACCTGATGTTCTTTTCTCTAATGCCAATCTCAGGAAAACACTACTCTTTTATGCTCACTACTGGTGATGCTGATCTAAGAACAGCTAAGCTTTCAGGGTCTTGTGGGCACTGCCTTTGCAGACATATTATTGAGGCTTTTAGTCTTGTTTGTATGCTTTTGCTTTCCTTATGTGCTTTCAGCCCTTCTCTGTATGTGCATGTTTGTGGCCACGTTCTTTGGTTTAAACAGTTTTTGTTTTTGTTGCATTAAAATTGGTCTCTGCCGCTACATTTCTGCTTCTATGGTTTTTGAACAACGGTGGAAAATGTTGAAGCCAGAAAAAAGTCAATTACACATCTGGCAGTTCAACATGAGGATCTGACAATCTGTAATCATCTGTAATCATCTGCACAGCTCTGGAGCTCAGTGCGGAAATATTTCACAGAAACAATCTGTGCTCTTAACAGTATTACCAACAGTAAGCAAAGACAGCACAGTGCTCTGTTGTCCCTTCACTCATAGAACATGACATGCAGTTAAAAGCTGCAGAAAATGGTGCACCATGAGTTGGGATTTTTGTTCCTGCAAACATTAGCTCACACAAAAGTCTCTGGCAAAACAGTATCTTATCAAACTCTGTGTAGCAGCTGTTCTGGTGCTTTCAAACATATCACATGATGTGTGCAGATTGAGATAGTCAACAATTAGTTGATCAACAGAAAACTAATTGGCAACTATAGTGATTATCAAAAACTGTTTGCTAGTTGTTTTTTTAAGAAGAAAAAGCCAAACATTTGCTGGTTTCATGCATCTTAAAGAGCACTACATTTTTTTTACCTGGATCCTATTTTCCCATGTGTCTGTGTTTAAGTGACAAATGAAAAACAGTGATTTTTGAAATTGGTCCACTATTGAGTCAAAGTGCTGCAGCCCGCAGCAGTGACAGGCTGCAATGTAACCACCACAACCAATAAAATCTTTTTTATTTAACCAGAAACAGCCCTGAAATCGCTATCCCCAAATCCATAGTTGAACTTGAATAGACTTGAAATTAACACTAATTTTAGCATGTATAGAGCCAGCATATTTTTACATCGATCTGGGGGATCCATTCATTAATTTTCTGTAACTGCTTACCCTGTTAGCATTTGCTGGGGGGCTGGAGCCTATCCCAGCTGTCACTGGGCAAGAGGTGGGGTACTCCCTGGAAGGGTCACCAGACTATAACAGGGCTGATATCTGGGCGAATTAAGGGTTTATTACAACCAGAGCTGGTGATTTCTGGAACAGTAGAGAGACAAACCAAGATGTTTATTTTTTAGTTTTATTTTGTTTCCGTTTACTTTGAATGAAGTGTATTTTACCAGAATAGAATTCCTGTTTATTGAAATGGAGTCTAATGGCTTTGGCTATAGCAATTTCAGGGG